GTTTTAAGTATTGACTCGATTTGTTTATAGTACTAGGTATTTATTCGATGGTTCAATTGACCGGTTCAATTTAATTTTTAAAACAATGGTTTTAACTTAAATGCAAGGTTTTTTTGTTGAAACACATATATTAAATTTTTACATAAAAAGTAAATTATTTCATTTACGTATTTATTTATTTATTTTTAATACGTAGGAGTTAGGAACTTTGTTTCTTGTCATAATTCTTCTTTTCATTAGTTCAGTATTCGTTATTTGCTTCAACATCGACAATTGGAGGGATGATTGGGGCAGTGTTGAGTGGCAGGGTTGCAGACCTTGTTGGGCAGAAATATGTAGTCTTTCTTCCTTCATTGCTTTCAATTTTAGTGTCAAGAATTGGTGAAAATTTTCAACTTTGCAGTGATTGATATATTGCTTTACAATGTTATCCTGCAGGCTATGAGTTTCAGAAATTTTATGCATTATAGGATGGCTTGCGGTATCATTCTCAAAGATTTTCCATTCTTCCTGGATCCTTTCCTCAATTTGTAAACCATATAAAATATTGAAAAACATTTCTAATAATAAAAATAAAAATAGGTGTTATGTAACTCAAATTATATAATATTTATAAAGTAAATTCTTAGTATTAAAGGTTTTTTTTATTTAATAACTTTTATTTTGCAACCTAAATTGAAAAATAAGATTCTAAAATTAATTAAGGTGCTGTCTTGGTGGGGTATGGAGGTTGTATTGCCGAATATATTGGGGGATTATTGAAAATTTTCTTGTATGGGCTGGGTAGGGTGATAGGAAAGGAATTGGGAGTTTGCATTTTTTCTTGTTACTTCTTGATATATATGGTTTTGGCGGAATTATAGAGTATTTAAGGGGGATGGGGTCTCAAGGGATGGTTTGTTGGATGTGATATAAGCAAAGATATTTTTCTGGATTAAGAATAAAGTGCAGGGCTGTGTTCTTCGCTTTGTGATTGGAAGGTTAATCCGCTCGGGACTGCAGCAGCTATAAGAAAGGGTAAAAGGAAGCTGAAGGAGTTCCATATGAATCAAAAGCGGAGGGTCAAATGGGTTCGCTGGGTGAGTTAATTGCAGAGCATGTCTTTGGGTCATGGTAATGGCTGTTGGAAGAGTACTTTCTGATTATATATTTCT